GACAGGCCGGACTGGGCTGGCGACGCACCCCGTAGGCTTGGTGCGTGGAGCAGGGACAGGCCGAACCGGGCTGTGGAGACGGATAGGAGACCTGGAGTGAAGAGCGGCCACAACCCGTCCTGGCTGAATGCCTACCCTCACACACTCTGTGTGAGGCATCCGCACAGGACGTACAGGGCGGTGTACCCGTAACCTGGTGGCCTTCTGAATCCGCCCCTTTTCTGCCTCCGTCAGCCCCGTCGTCCATGCCGTGTGCCCCCCCCTAAAAATTTTCTGGGGTTGCCTCTCGCCTGTCCGACGTTGACACTGCTGACGCCGCTGCTCCTCTTTCGCCAGGGCCTCTCCCGGCGCTTCCTCCCATGTCCAGTCCAAGTTCTGCCCCGGGACACGCTGCTTGGTCCTTACTTGGTGGGTTTTTCTGTCACGATCGTCGTAAGTAATAGACCAAGGCGCAGCGTGATGAACGAACATGGTTAAACTTTATTATCTTTAGTGATAATAGACCACAATAACCAAAACAAGAAACGACTCGTGAAGTCCACGGTAACAATGACCAACACGGAACAAAAACCCACAAACACAAAGGGAAAACAGACAGTTTAAATATGGCTCCCAATCAGAGACAACCAACGACAGCTGACACTCGTTGCCTCTGATTGGGAGTCACTCTAGCCAACATAGAAATAAACACAACAGAATGAACACACCCTGGCTCAACATATAGAGTCCCAGAGCCAGGGTGTGACACATTATCAACATTCTCATCTAATCAGTGAGCTAGAAGTAAGTCGTTTCACTTCAGGTCACATTCTCTGATGTAGTAAATGTCTAGTAATGTTTGTTATTCAGCTGCATCACTGTTGAAATTTCACAATAAAAATATAGCCAACTTCCTGATAACAGTACCGATATCTATCCTCTGACCTGTCATTTGAAGCAAAGATAACGTTATTTAATAATAATAATTATAATAGGTTTATTTTATATAGTACTTTTCATTACAAAAAGAATCTCAAAGATGTAAAAACAAACAAAACAAATGGGGGGGGGGGGGGGGGGGGGGGGTTAGAGCTCGGTGGTAAGGGGACCAGGATTCCGGTGGTAAGTGCGATGACGCGAAAGCGTAAGAATGGCACTGTTAAGATCAGAGATTTGTCTCCTGAAACACCTTCGTTCAAGGTGTACATACCTATCCGCCTCCGAGAGGAAGCGGGCGCTTCAAGTCACGCGGCTCGGGGCTCAACCTGTGGTGTGCTTTGCTCTCCGGAGCAGGTCGCCACTAAAAGGGGTGATCAGTGGGGTAGTGTTGAGTGTAGAGGTGGATCAAATGAATATTCCTAGTGTTTCTGACGCCTGTCATTTGGTGAGACGTAGACCCAGTGGCAATGGCGAGACTGAGAATACTCTGTCAGTCTTGTTGAGATTTGACACAGAGTTTCTACCTGATAAGGTCGGGTTAGGTTATATTTGCTATTCTGTGAGGGCCTATGTTCCAAACCCGCTTCAGTGCTTTAGGTGCCAAGGATTCTGACATGTTGCAGCAGTGTGTAGAAGGGAGATCCCATGATGTGAGAAATGTGCAGGAGTGCATAGTCAAAGGGAGTGTAAAGTTGGGATAGGGAAAGCACTGTATGTCAACTGTGGGGGTGTCCATGCAGCTGGGGATCCGAAGTGCCTTGTGAGAAAGAGACCGGTTAAGATTGCCAGAGTTCGAGTGCGGCAGAAAGTTTCCTATGCTGAGGCAGTGAAGAGAGTAGAGGATAGCCCAAGGGTGAGTGAGTCGACTGGGAGACCCCCAGTGAGTAGGCCTGAGGGGAGCGAGCATAGAGGATGAGTTTTAGTAAAGTTGGAATTCTTGCATTTATAGCCATGGTGAAAACCACAGAGGATATGATGTAGTTGCAGCAGCAGAGAAATATTTGGGTGTGAGAGATTTTAGTCCAGAAGATCTACAGGAAGTTTTGAGAAAGGGGTTCCATCCTCCCAGGCCGTTGAGCCTGGTGCAGGGTTAGATGGTGGTGCAATTTGAGTCTTTCCCATTCCCCTTTTCCCTTTTTTTTTGTGACCAAAATGTGTAATCCGCCAAAAAAAAAATTGTGTATTGCTGCGAAAGGCAGCAATACACAACACAGCGTCTAGTCTGCCGGAAAGCCACATGAAGAAGAAGGCAGGTCTTGGGCGATGGTCTTCCACAGCTTTAGATGATAAGGTGTTGTTCAGCCAGGCAGTTCAGAAAGGCTAGGCAGTAGCTTAAGCAGAGGGAACTTCGATGGCACAGAGAGGGAGCAGCGTCAGTCAGTTACTTATACAGGCCCGGAGCTCTTCATCAGGCACCTCGTTCATTGTCTCCTCCTTCTCCTCTGTAGGTAGGCTGGATAGTCCACTACTGAAGTGTAACACCCACCCGTGCTACACTGTGTCTGAAGTTTCAAATCAAAATCAAATGTTATTTGTCAAATGCGCCGAATACAACAGGCTTAGACCTTACCGTGAAATGCTTACTTACAAGCCCTTAACCAACAATGCAGTTCAAGAAATAGAGTTCAGTAAAAAATTAAATAAAAAGTAACACAATAAAATTACATAACAATAACGATGCTATATACAGGGGGCACCGGTACCGAGTCAATATGCGGCGGTACAGGTTAGTCGAGGTAATTTGTACATGTAGGTAGGGGTAAAGTGACTATGCATGGAAAATAAACAGCGAGTAGCAGCAGTGGTAAAAACAAAGGGGGGAGGGGGTCAATGTAAATAGGCCAGGTGGTCATTTGATTGATTGTTCAGCAGTCTTATGGCTTGGGGGTAGAAGCTGTTAAGGAACCTTTTAGACCTAGACTTGGCGCTCCGGTACCACTTGCCATGCGGTAGCAGAGAGAACAGTCTATGACTTGGGTGACTGGATTCTTTGACAATTTTTTGGGCTTTCCTCTGACACCGCCTAGTATATAGGTCCTGGATGGCACGAAGCCGTACGCACTACCCTCTGTAGCGCCATAATGGACAGATGCCGACCAGTTGCCATACCAGGTGGTGATAGTTTGTTAGTGATGTGGACACCAAGGAACTTGAAACTCTAGACCCACTCCACTACAGCCCCGTCGATGTTAATGGGGGCCTGTTTGGCCCACCTTTTCCTGTAGTCCATGATCATCTCCTTTGTCTTGCTCACACTGAGGGAGAAGTTGTTGTCCTGGCACCAAACTGCCAGGTCTCTTACCTCCTCCCTATAGGCTGTCTCATCACTGTCGGTGATCAATCCTACCACTGTTGTGTCATCAGCAAACTTAATGATGGTGTTGGAGTCGTGCTTGGCCACGCAGTCGTGGGTGAACATGGAATACAGGAGGGGACTAAGCACGGACCCCTGAGGGGCCCCGGTGTTGAGGATCTGCGTGGCAGATGTGTTGTTGCCTACCCTTACAACCTGGGGGTGGCCCGTCAGGAAGTCCAGGATCCAGTTGCAGAGGGAGGTGTTTAGTCCCAGGGTCCTTAGCTTAGTGATGAGCTTTGTGGGCACTATGGTGTTGAACGCTGAGCTGTAGTCAATGAACATCATTCTGACATAGGTGTTCCTTATGTCCAGGTGGGAAAGGGCAGTGTGGAGTGCGATTGAGATTGCGTCATCTGTGGATCTGTTAGGGCGGTATGCGAATTGGAGTGGGTCTAGGGTTCCGGGATGATGGTGTTGACGTGAGTGCTACAGGGCGGTAGCCATTTAGGCAGTTTACCTTTGCATTCTTGGGCACAGGGACTATAGTGGTCTGCTTGAAACATGTAGGTATTACAGACTCGGTCAGGGAGAGGTTGAAAATGTCAGTGAAGACACTTGCCAGTTGGTCCGCGCATGCTCTGAGTACACGCCCTGGTAATCCGCGGCCTTGTGAATGTTGAACTGTTTAAAGGTCTTGCTTACATCGGCTAAGGAAAGCATGATCACACAGTCATCCGGAACAGCTGGTGCTCTCATGCATGCTTCCGTGTTGCTTGCCTCGAAATGAGCATAAAAGGCATTTAGCTCGTCTGGTCGGCCCGCGTCACTGGGCAGCTCACGGCTGGATTACCCTTTGTAGTCCGTAATTGTTTGCAAGTCCTGCCACATCCGATGAGCATCAGAGCCGGTTATAGTAGGATTCAATCTTAGTTCTGTATTGACACTTTGCCTGTTTGATGGTTTGTCTGAAGGCATAGCGGGATTTCTTATAAGCGTCCATATTAGTGTCCCGCTCCTTGAAAGCGGCAGCTCTAGCCTTTAGCTCGGTGCAGATGTTGCCTGTAATCCATGGCTTCTGGTTGGGATATGTACGTACGGTCACTGTGGGGACGTCATCGTCGATGCACTTATTGATGAAGCCGGTGACTGAGGTGGTATACTCCTCAATGCCATTGGATAAATCACGGGACATATTCCAGTCTGTGCTAGCAAAACGGTCCTGTAGTGTAGCTCCGTATTGAGCGAGTCACTGGTACTTCCTGCTTTAGTTTTTTTTTTGCTTGTAAGCAGGAATCAGGAGGCTAGAATTATGGTCAGATTTGTCAAATGGAGGGCGAGGGAGAGCTTTGTATGTGTCTTTGTATGTGTGTGGAGTAAAGGTTTAAGGCACTTAAACTCATCTTGTACAAAAGGTTAAGGTTACAAAGGTTCTCCATAGTTATTTATCAAAAGTAATCAATATCTTCACTCAATAGACTATCTGCACACATCTAGCGTGAGTTGGCTAAACATTGCTATAACATTCTATTTTATTTATAACAAAACATTTTATTTATGGATAGTGCTGCTGAATTTAAAAGAGTGTATATGTCTTTATTCCACTATCTTATTGAATGAGATGACACATCATCATTTGTAGGACAATTCTGAGCCTGGGAATTGTGATTTATTATGCCTTGCCTCAAACTCAAAATATGCACTGTCCCTCCTACCATTGTTCTCTATGCTTTTACTAACCCCTAGTGGATAAATGTACTACTGCAGTCCCCTAGAAGCAGGAAGTGACGTTTTAGAAAAGCTAACGCGGTTGTCTTGTTTGAAAGAGTCAGTGTTGAGTCGAAACAACACATTTACAAATAAACCAGACACGTAGCTACGATAAATCACAGTTGATAATTGTAAGGACACCACTTTACACTGTAAGTTGATGTGTTTTTATTTCACTAACTTGCTTCATAGTATTTCATTAATTATTTAGCAAGCTAACGCGTTAACTAGCTAGCTATGGCTAACAGTCACTGAGCTTGTTTTATTTTGCTATGGACTCGACGCTATCCATGTCTAGACAGTTCATGATTTTCTTTGGTATGCAAATAATTTACACACGTTTCTATTTATTTAGCTAGTTACGCTAAATCAGACTTTGATACACAATTTACGGCATCGCCACGTTTCGTGAATAACTAGTTAGCTTAGTAGCCCTTGTTCGGGACTCTCAGTTCTCAATAGTGTGCAACTGACTGCAGTTCGGGGCGTTCCTCATCGAGCATTTCATTGGTTCCTTAATGACCCCCCCCAAGCACGCCATTAAAAAAGGTTAAAACGGTGTACAGTGAGTGTGTATTTTGAATGTGTGAGATTATTTTGATGTGATATGAAAGTACAGGGATTTATGTTTCTAGAACCATACCGCAATTGAGTCGATTCACGTGTAGATGGAGTGTTTGTTTGGCTGTTTTGGCTTCGAGACAATTCTCCTTTAAACAGAACATGTAAGGTCCTTGGACTATAAAGAGTAACAATAGGCTCCTTTAATCCATTATTGGGCTAGCTAATTGGTAGCTAGCATAACAAGGGTGCTGTTTATTATATTTACATTTTAGTGTGTTTTCACATATAGTCCTCTTTAAAGTAAACTCTGTAAATGTAAAAAAAAAAAAAAAAAGAAGCTAAAGAACTCAGTTCTCTTTGTATTCACACTGCCCTTGCCTTTGAATGAGGACTCAACTCTTGCCAGTTCACTTCACCTATTTTGTGATCCGAGTCATTTTAGCATTCACATTGCTATGTTTCGAAAGGAACCAATATATTTTTCCAACATTCACTCAATGCACTGTGGATTTTTACAAAGTGCAGGACAAGCCATTCCATCAGAATGTGTTATCGGACAGCTAGATATACCATATATCTACTTACATTTTGAAAGCTAATCGATTGCATTTAGTTAAAAGATGAGACATAATAATTGTAATCAGAAGATACTTTTACCAATAATATTTACATGTTAACAGAATAAATAGCAGAATAACTGCAGATTAAATAATGCTGTAATTGAAAAATTGTACACCAAGTGTAGGCTACTGCCCCTTTAAGAGCTAGAATGGATTTTGTACCCTATGTTGTGATTTGCACCAAATACTTTGTCTTCTTCTCACACTATTCAAACCCCACAATCGAATAAACAGCTTATGAAGCTCTCTTAGCCTATAGATCACATATTGCTAACAAATAATCTGAACTAAAAACTCCACACATATTTTAGAATATCCTTGACAATCACTAATCAATATGCAAAAACTGCAATTTAAAAAAAACTATTCTGCACATCATAATTTTCTCTTTTGTGGCAGCAATGTGAGGTGCTATGGCAGGGGAAACAGTGTTGCAGTAGTCTAGTGTGTGGTGCGGGAATAATGACAAGCGAACCTAGGGAGCTTTGTGTTCTTATTGCCCTAAAAAAGGGAACCGAACTGCTGAATTCAAGCGAACCGAATTCAGACCACCTCTCGAGATGGTCTCAGTTCGGTTCGCATTTGCGTCTCTTTTGAGGGGTCTGAGTTCCTTTTGGAGTGTTCACACTGCACAAAACATTAAGCAAATCGCACTGAGTTCACAAAAATTGTCTGAAAGGGACCGAGTGTGAAAACACCCGTAGTCATATAGCAGACCACACTTATCCAGAGCGACTTACACTACAGTGCAGTTTCATACATTTTGTACTGGTCCCCCATGGGAATCAAACCCACAACCCTGGCGTTGCAAGCGCCATGCTCTACCAACTGAGCCACACGGGTTAATGCCTCCCTCAAATATCTTTACCTTGGTTGAACAAATCCTTTAAGTAAAGCAGTATCACTTTGGTTTTAATATTTGATAAAAGCTTGTGCAAATTGCCTATGAGTGCTTGCTTACCTGTGTACTCCATTGTGCCAGACCCCCCTCTCACCCTTTGTACTCCCTCCCCATTCCCTTCCTCCCCTTTGCGTCCCTCTTCCCCTCCCTAGGTCCCATATGGCTACACCCTTACCTCAAAAGGGGCCTGGTCTGGCTGGTATGCTCCCCCAGCAGCAGCAGTCCCACCTGCTCCCAGGCTCTGGCTCAGGCCCCGGCCAGCCCCCTATGCTCCCTCAGGGAGCCCTGAGAGAGATCTCCCCTGTGTTCCTCTGTCGCATCGGCCAGGAGACCGTCCAGGACATCGTCACACGCACCATGGAGATCTTCCAGATCACACGAGCCACACAGGTAATGCCAGTGTTTCCCCAAAGGTTGGACACATTCATTTTATACATTATGCCTTCGCATCACATGGGGGGTTAATTAAAGAATGATGTGCTGTCTGTCAGTCTCATTGAGCGTGTCCCCCATAGATATTCAATATAATACTGTTTATAGTATACAGTGCATTCGGAAAGTATTCAAACCCCTTGACTTGTTCAACAATTTGTTACGTTACAGCCTTATTCTAATATGGATTAAATTGTTTTTCCCCCCTCATCAATATACACACAATTCCCCATAATGACAAAGCAAAAACAGGTTTTTATAAATTTTTGCTAATTTATAAAAAATAAAAAATAAAACGGAAATATCACATTTACATAAGTATTCAGACCTTTTACTCAGTACTTTGTTGAACACCTTTGGCAGCGATTACAGCCTTGAGTCTAATTTGGGTATGACGCTACAAGCTTGGCACCTGTATTTGGGGAGTTTCTCCCATTCTTCTCTGCAGATCCTCTCAAGCTTTGTCAGGTTGGATGGGGAATGTCGCTGCCCAGCTATTTTCAGGTCTCTCCAGAGATGTTAAATCGGGTTCAAGTCCGGGGTCTGGCTGGGCCTCTCAAGGACATTCAGAGACTTGTCCCGAAGCAACTCCTGCATTGTCTTGGCTGTGTGCTTAGGGTCGTTGTCCTGTTGGAAGGTGAACCTTCGCCCCAGTCTGAGGTCTTGAGTGCTCTGGAGCAGGTTTTCTCCCAGTCCCTGCCGCTGAAAAACATCCCCACAGCATGATACTGCCGCCACCATGCTTCACTGTAGGGATGGTGCCAGTTTTCCTCCAGAGCTGACGCTTCGCATTCAGGCTAGAGAGTTCAATCTTGGTTTCATCAGACCAGAGAATCTTGTTTCTCATGGTCTGAGAGTCCTTTAGGTGCCTTTTGGCAATCTCCAAGCGGGCTGTCATGTGCCTTTTACTGAGGAGTGGCTTCCGTCTTGCCACTCTACCATAAAGGCCTGATTGGTGGAGTGCCACAGAGATGGTTGTCCTTCTGGAAGGTTCTCCCATCTACACAGAGGAAATCTGAAGCTCTGTCAGAATGACCATCGGGTTCTTGGTCACCTCCCTGAACAAGGCCCTTCTCCCCCGATTGCTCAGTTTGGCCAGGCGGTCAGCTCTAGGAAGAGTCTTGGTGGTTCCAAACTTCTTCCATTTAAGAATGATGGAGGCCACTGTGTTCTTGGGGACCTTCAATGCTGCAGAAATGTTTTGGTACCCTTCCCCAGATCTGTGCCTCGACACAATCCCGTCTCGGATCTCTACGGACAATTCCTTCGAAATCATGGCTTGGTTTTTGGCTGACATTCACTATCAACTGTGGGACCTTATATAGACAGGTGTGTGCCTTTCCAAATCATGTCCAATCAATTGAATTTATCACAGGTAGACTCCAATCAAGTTGTAGAAACATCTAAAGGATGATCAATGGAAACAGGATGCACCTGAGCTCAATTTCAAGTCTCATAGCGAAGGGTCTGAATAGGGCTGTGGCGGTCACGAAATTTCGTCAGCCGGTGATTGTCAAGCAAATAACTGTCGGTCTCACGGTAATTGACCGTTAATTAACAAACACATTTAGCATCTCCTGGCTTCCACACACAGCCTACAAGCCACTGATGCAGACCTTTGGAACATCTACATTTAAAAAAGTCTAATAAATCCATGTAATAACCTACACCTTCACTATAAATCCATTATTATAGAAAGGATATTTTCTCCAAATGATTTGAGGGAGTGCGCACATGCGGCGGTTATTCTGTGTTGAACGGTTAACAAAGAAATAGGTACTCCTATATGCTTAATTTAGAGTTATTTATGTAACTTTAGTTGTTCTACAAATGTTGGGCTATATGTTTAGATTTTTAATACATTGTAAGGCTGCATGATGCGACTAATTATGATTAGAAAAAAGTTGCTTGAAAGGCATGAGCTCTGCTTTGTTTTTTGTGCAGGCTGTACACACTTCGTCAGTCTCTCATTCACAATTTGAGAAGCACTTGATAATGCCACGAATCTCCCGGCGGCATCCCCTTTGTGTGGCCATATCGAATTTCCCAGCGGCATCCCCTTTGTGTGGCCATAATGCACCCTATAAAAATCCATGCCTTTTGCAGCCCTTCTCCCTGAGTGCTGCCTGCTCCGAAGCACTTCTCACTCACACGGCTCTCATCACGTGATCTGGTCTTTCTCACAGGCTACAAGTGAAGACAGACGCATCAGAGATGCAACTGCGCGCTTCCTTATCCAATGCCGAGGTGCATATTGAAGATATTGGAAGAACTGTCCACATTTACTTTTCGTCAGCCAACAAGATGAGTAGGCCTAACGAACAGCCAAAGCAAATATTCCAAACATAGTCTGGGACAATTGTGGGATGCGATAGATCCCAAAATATACAACCACTATCATCAAAAAACCTTTTTTACGTAATGAGGCTGACGCAACAGATCAGAATGTTTAGCTTAAAATGTTGATAAACTATTAGGCTATTTCTTCACATTATAAGCGCAGCAATGCGCACACAGCAGTAGGCTATAAGCGTGAATGTTCCATTAGCAGGAAAACCCCATTATCAAAAGTGACCACAAATGCGATTATGCATGTAATGCTTTTATGATAAAGGTGCATTTCTTTGGTGAAAATTATTTTCCCCAAACTTGAAACGCACGTGCTGATTATGTATGCCAGTTAGGCTCTACACCCCTTGTAAAGCGGATTAATGTGCTTAATTTTAAGAAGTTATTTGGCCACTTTAGTTGTGATACAAACCTTATTAAAACATATAGGTTAGGCTACATTAGGTGTATGATTAAAAAAAGGCATCGTTTCTTATGCTGGGCATCATTCACAAGTGCTAAGCTAATATTGTCACCCATCAGACTATTCTTGATTTAATCTTGTCTTTACATATACTAAATAATATGTGTGAAATTCGTTTTGATTTAGAATGGACCATTATCATGAACCGGTATCGAAACAGGGACAGGGGAAAAAATACATTTAATCTCTGCACTTAAATAGCGAATGGAGGACGCTTTTCCTGTGGTTCATTTTCATACCAGCCAGGTAGGCTATGCACCTGTTGTAAAGATAAGCAATGTGCTTAATATTAGGAAAGTTGAGAAATAAATATAGTAGGCCTAGCCTATAGAAAGCTGATGGGATCCTCCTCTTTTTAATAAGAGTCCATCACTCAGTTTTCTTGCACAATTTCATACATGAGCTCATGTGCTCTCATTAAGTGTTTGATTAGATTTTCGAAAACATTTGCATTGATGTCAGAGTGATTAGAGGGACAATGCTGTCTCTCCAACTGCTGAGTACCAGGCAATTAGCAAGTTTGGTAGGCTACTAATGACCATCAGCAGCATCAGAGCTTGGAGAAGCCTAATTACCGTGACTAAACGGTCACCTGGAATTTGACTGCCTTCATGATGCGTGACCACCGGTGTGGCAGTAATACGGTCACCGCAACAGCCTTAGGTCTGAATACTTATGTAAATAAGGTATTTACATTTTTTTTTAAAAATACATTTGCAAGCAGTTCTAAAAACCTGTTTTCGCTTTGTCATTATGGGGTATTGTGTGTAGATTGAGGAATTTCTATTGAATCCATTTTAGAATAAGGCTGTAACGTAACAAAATGTGGAAAAAGTCGAGGTCTGAATACATTCCGAATGCACTGTACATACAATATACTATTAGCCTCATTCTGTGGTTATTCCTGCTCTTTCCCCCCGTCTGTCAGCTGCCTAACGGGGTGACCCAGAGCCAGGCTGTGTATCAGGACCGCTTTGGGAAACTCCAGGAGCACCTCCGTCAGCTGGCCCTGCTCTTCCGCAAGCTCCGCCTCCTCTACGAGCGCTGTGTGGAGATGACCTCTGACCTGCAGGAAGAACCCTCAGAGGTAGGGCTCAACTTCCGCATTGTCTCCGTACTGCTGTGCTGTTTGTTGCTACTTGGCTACCTGCCAAACTATTCACGTTTTACTTTTAATAAACGTTTAATCAATCTCTGTGTTCAACAAATTTACCAACTTTTTAGTTTTGTCCTCACTCATCTTTTTTCGTTAAACTTTTTCACCCCGGACGTTTATCCCGAGACAGAAGAGTCATTTTCCTGTGCGTTTTAGCTGCCAACTTTATGTTATTTTCCTTTTTTCCATCGCAACTTTTTTCCCTTATTCAACTTTTTCACTCCGGACGCTTTATCTGGACATGGTTCATCAACATCTTCAACAGCCGAAGCTAAGTAGTAACATTAACATGATGTCTTCTAATTGCAGTCGCTGTACTCATAATATACAGGAGAATTCTCGCCTTACGGCGAGAATAGCTGTGCTACAAGCCCAGCTTCAGACGCAATCGTTAGGCAAGGGTAATATCAGTGTAGGAAAGGAAGAAACAGCGTCTGTGCCACCAGTAAGTACAGACAGTAACGTTAGTATAAATCCCCCCGCACAGTCCCCGCAGCCGGACAACTTTCTCATGGCTTCTGGAGGGAAATACTGTTGGAATGCTCAACCGGTGTCGCTCATTCAGCCGACAGAAACCTTCAACCGGTTTTCCCCATTATGTAGCAAGTCGGAGTCTGAGTCTGAGTCTTCTCTAGTCTCTACTCCTCCCGTTACGGGGTCTGAGACTCCGAAGGCTCCCACCATTAGCTCTGACAAATTGAAAACCCTAGTCATTGGCGACTCCATTACCCGCAGTATTAGACTTAAAACGAATCACCCAGCGATCATACACTGTTTACCAGGGGGCAGGGCTACCGACGTTAAGGCTAATCTAAAGATGGTGCTGGCTAAAGCTAAAACTGGCGAGTGTAGAGAGTATAGAGATATTGTTATCCACGTCGGCACCAACGATGTTAGGATGAAACAGTCAGAGGTCACCAAGTGCAACATAGCTTCAGCGTGTAAATCAGCTAGAAAGATGTGTCGGCATCGAGTAATTGTCTCTGGCCCCCTCCCAGTTAGGGGAAGTGACGAGCTCTACAGCAGAGTCTCAGCACTTAATCGCTGGTTGAAAACTGTTTTCTGCCCCTCCCAAAAGATAACATTTGTGGATAATTGGCCCTCTTTCTGGGACTCACCCACAAACAGGACCAAGCCTGACCTGCTGAGGAGTGACGGACTCCATCCTAGCTGGAGGGGTGCTCTCCTCTTATCTACCAACATAGATAGGGCTCTAACTCCTCTAGCCCCACAGTGAAATAGGGTGCAGGCCAGGCAGCAGGCTGTTAGCCAACCTGCCAGCTTAGTGGAGTCTGCCAATAGCACAGTCAGTGTAGTCAGCTCAGCCATACCCATTGAGACTGTGTCTGTGCCTCGATCTAGGTTGGGCAAAACTAAACATGGCGGTGTTCACCCTAGCAATCTTATTAGGATAAAGACCTCCTCCATTCCTGCCATTATTGAAAGAGATCGTGATACCTCACATCTCAAAATAGGGTTACTTAATGTTAGATCCCTCACTTCAAAGGCAGTCATAGTCAATGAACTAATCACTGATCATAATCTTGATGTGATTGGCCTGACTGAAACATGGCTTAAGCCTGATGAATTTGCTGTGTTAAATGAGGCCTCACCTCCTGGTTACACTAGTGACCATATTCCCCGTGCATCCCGCAAAGGCGGAGGTGTTGCTAACATTTACGATAGCAAATTTCAATTTACAAAAAAAAAAATGGCGTTTTCATCTTTTGAGCTTCTAGTCATGAAATCTATGCAGCCTACTCAATCACTTTTTATAGCTACTGTTTACAGGCCTCCTGGGCCATATACAGCGTTCCTCTCTGAGTTTCCTGAATTCCTATCAGACCTTGTAGTCATAGCAGATCATATTCTAATTTTTGGTGATTTTAATATTCACATGGAGAAGTCCACAGACCCACTCCAAAAGTCTTTCGGAGCCATTATCGACTCAGTGGGTTTTGTCCAACATGTCTCTGGACCTACTCACTGCCACAGTCATACTCTGGACCTAGTTTTGTCCCATGGAATAAATGTTGTAGATCTTAATGTTTTTCCACAAAATCCTGGACTATCGGACCACCATTTTATTACGTTTGCAATCGCAACAAATAATCTGCTCAGACCCCAACCAAGGAGCATCAAAAGTCGTGCTATAAATTCTCAGACAACACAAAAATTCATTGATGCCCTTCCAGACTCCTTCTGCCTACCCAAGGACGTCAGAGGACAAAAATCAGTTAACCACTTAACTGAGGAACTCAATTTAACCTTGCGCAATACCCTAGATGCAGTTGCACCCCTAAAAACGAAAAACATTTGTCATAAGAAACTAGCTCCCTGGTATACAGAAAATACCCGAGCTTTGAAGCAAGCTTCCAGGAAATTGGAACGGAAATGGCGCCACACCAAACTGGAAGTCTTCCGACTAGCTTGGAAAGACAGTACCGTGCAGTACCGAAGAGCCCTCACTGCTGCTCGATCATCCTACTTTTCCAACTTAATCGAGGAAAATAAGAACAATCCAAAATTTCTTTTTGATACTGTTGCAAAGCTAACTAAAAAGCAGCATTCCCCAAGAGATGATGGCTTTCACTTCAGCAGTGATAAATTCATGAACTTCTTTGAGGAAAAGATCATGACCATTAGAAAGCAAATTACGGACTCCTCTTTGAATCTGCGTATTCCTCCAGGGCTTAGCTGTCCTGGATCTGCACAGCTCTGCGAGGGCCTGGGATCGGGAGAGACACTTAAGTGTTTTAGTACTATATCTCTTGACACAATGATGAAAATAATCATGGCCTCTAAACCTTCAAGCTGCATACTGGATCCTATTCCTACTAAACTGCTGAAGGAGCTGCTTCCTGTGCTTGGCCCTCCTATGTTGAACATAATAAACAGCTCTCTATCCACCGGATGTGTACCAAACTCACTAAAAGTGGCAGTGATAAAGCCTCTCTTGAAAAAGCCAAACCTTGACCCGGAAAATATAAAAAACTATCGGCCTATATCGAATCTTCCATTCCTCTCAAAAATTTTAGAAAAAGCTGTTGCGCAGCAACTCACTGCCTTTCTGAAGACAAACAATGTATACGAAATGCTTCAGTCTGGTTTTAGACCCCATCATAGCACTGAGACTGCACTTGTGAAGGTGGTAAATGACCTTTTAATGGCGTCAGACCGAGGCTCTGCATCTGTCCTCGTGCTACTAGACCTTAGTGCTGCCTTTGACACCATCGATCACCACATTCTTTTGGAGAGACTGGAAACCCAAATTGGTCTACACGGACAAGTTCTGGCCTGGTTTAGATCCTACCTGTCGGAAAGATATCAGTTTGTCTCTGTGAATGGTCTGTCCTCCGACAAATCAACTGTACATTTCGGTGTTCCTCAAGGTTCCGTTTTAGGACCACTATTGTTTTCACTATATATTTTACCTCTTGGGGATGTTATTCGAAAACATAATGTTAACTTTCACTGCTATGCGGATGACACACAGCTGTACATTTCAATGAAGCATGGTGAAGCCCCAAAATTGCCCTCGCTAGAAGCCTGTGTTTCAGACATAAGGAAGTGGATGGCTGAAAACTTTTTACTTTTAAACTCGGACAAAACAGAGATGCTTGTTCTAGGTCCCAAGAAACAAAGAGATCTTCTGTTAAATCTGACAATTAATCTTGATGGTTGTAAAGTCGTCTCAAATAAAACTGTGAAGGACCTAGGCGTTACTCTTGACCCTGATCTCTCTTTTGACGAACATATCAAGACTGTTTCAAGGACAGCTTTTTTCCATCTACGTAACATTGCAAAAATCAGAAATTTTCTGTCCAAAAATGATGCAGAAAAATTAATCCATGCATTTGTTACTTCTAGGTTAGACTACTGCAATGCTCTATTTTCCGGCTACCCGGATAAAGCACTAAATAAACTTCAGTTAGTGCTAAATACGGCTGCTAGAATCCTGACTAGAACCAAGAAATTTGATCATATTACTCCAGTGCTAGCTTCCCTACACTGGCTTCCTGTTAAGGCAAGGGCTGATTTCAAGGTTTTACTGTTAACCTATAAAGCGTTACATGGGCTTGCTCCTACCTATCTTTCCGAGTTGGTCCTGCCGTACATACCAATACGTACGCTACGGTCACAAGACGCAGGCCTCCTAATTGTCCCTAGAATTTCTAAGCAAACAGCGGGAGGCAGGGCTTTCTCCTATAGATCTCCATTTTTATGGAACAGTCTGCCTACCCATGTGAGAGACGCAGACTCGGTCTCAACCTTTAAGTCTTTACTGAAGACTTATCTCTTCAGTAGGTCATATGATTGAGTGTAGTCTGGCCCAGGAGTGTGAAGGTGAACGGAAAGGCTGGAGCAACGAACAGCCCTTGCTGTCTCTGCCAGGCCGGTTCCCCTCTCCACTGGGGTTCTCTGCCTCTAACCCTGTTGCAGGGGCTGAGTCACTGGCTTGCTGGTGCTCTTTCATGCCGTCCCTGGGAGGGGTGCGTCACTTGAGTGGGTTGAGTTACTGACGTGATCTTCCTGTCTGGGTTGGCGCCCCCCCCTTGGTTTGTGCTGTGGTGGAGACCTCTGTGGGCTATACTCGGCCTTGTCTCAGGATTGTAAGTTGGTGGTTGGGGATATCCCTCTAGTGGTGCGGGGGCTGTGCTTTGGCGGAGTGGGTGGGGTTATATCCTTCCTGTTTGGCCCTGTCCGGGGGTTTCTTCGGATGGGGCCACAGTGTCTCCGGACCGCTCCTGTCTCAGCCTCCAGTATTTATGCTGCAGTAGTTTATGTGTCGGGGGGCTGGGGTTAGTTGGTTATACCTGGAGTACTTCTCCTGTCTTATCCAGTGTCCTGTGTGAATTTAAGTATGCTCTCTCTAATTCTCTCGTTCTCTCTTTCTCTCTGAGAACCTGAGCCCTAGGACCATACGTCAGGACTACCGGGCATGATGACACCTTGCTGTCCCCAGTCCGCCTGGCCTTGCTGCTATTCCAGTTTCAACTGTTCTGCCTGCGGCTACGAAACCCCTACCTGTCCCAGACCTGCTGTTTTCAACTCTTAATGATCGGCTATGAAAAGCCAACTGAGAGACCTGAGCCCTAGGACCATACGTCGGGACTACCGGCCGTGGTGACTCCTTGCTGTCCCCAGTCCGCCTGGCCTTGCTGCTATTCCAGTTTCAACTGTTCTGCCTGCGGTTATGGAACCCCTACCTGTCCCAGACCTGCTGTTTTCAACTCTTAATGATCGGCTATGAAAAGCCAACTGAGATTTATTCCTGATTATTATTTGACCATGCTTGTCACTTATGAACATTTTTGAACATCTTGGCATGGTTCTGTTATAATCTCCACCCGGCACAGCCAGAAGAGGACTGGCCACCCCTCATAGCCTGGTTCCTCTCTAGGTTTCTTCCTAGGTTTTGCCTTTCTAGGGAGTTTTTCCTAGCCACCATGCTTCTACACCTGCATTACTAGCTGTTTGGGGTTTTAGGCTGGGTTTCTGTACAGCACTTCGAGATATTAGCTGATGTAAGAAGGGCTATATAAAATAAAATTGATTGATTGATTGATTGAATTAAATCTGTCTGTCTATGTACAAAATCGCTCTACTGAGCCTATCCAAGCTGTACTGGGCTGGCTTGGTTATGCATTCACCATAGTTGCTGGAATGGATCATGTAAAAAATTAAATATCCTAGCCAGTACGATTCGGGTCTGCCCTCTAGTGTGAGTCAGGCACGTTTGTCTTTCTGTCTATACACAAGCTCTACCTTTTTTTCTGTCTATCTGTACTTTGTCACCTTTGACAGTATATTACTTGTCCTGCAGTTGTTTCGATGCGTGCCAATGATGTGATAAACTTAGTGTATAATACATTTTCTTTCCAGCTGGTGCCATATGTAGGAGAGGAGATAGCCCCTGTGAGAGTGGATCCCTGCAGTCTGGCTGTAAACCAGGAGAGACAAGAAGTGCTGGAGGTTTGTGACGTGTCCACTTCCTCTGTACGTCACTGATTCAATATTGTTTCTTGGATGACAACCAATAGTTAGTACAGTGACAGTACATTTCCTTGATTCTGATTGGGTTCTGTGTCATGGTCCCTCCCACAGAAGGTGAGGCAGAAAAACCAGGAGATGAAGATTCTGATGGACCAGATGAGGAACCTGTTATGGGACGTCAACGCCATGCTGACACTCAGGAAATGACATCACAGATGAACTCACCCCCTCCCTCACTGCACTTCACGATGCCCTCCCACTAGGGGCCATTAATTATTACTGACCAAGAAAACTCTAGGCCCTAGTACCTCCAACCATTGTTGTGCTGGTGTGAGACAGACCGCTGGAAGCTTTGGGTGATCTACCTTTACAGTATGGTGCTTTCAGAGACATTGAATGAACTGACTTTACTTTAAAATGTTTTTACTACATATGTTTTGTACTGTCAATATGAGTTCAGACTTGCAAAGCCTCAGGTGAATTTCCTGCCTTTTTTTGGGTGGTAAGCACTGACCCAGGACCAGCTAAATAAACTTTAATTCAGTGTTATGAATTCCACTCAGTGCCCAAAGGGCTGATCTAGTGTCAGTGCTTAACATCTGCCCTTATTCTTTGTGTACCAACACTAGTGAGTGTCACCTGTGAACTGAGTTGAAGACAATGGTATCTCATCACAACTTAGCCCATGGCAGCTATTTATCTCAGGTATGTGTGTGTCTTAGCATCATTAATGAGGTTAGCTTCCTAAGTGCTGGGCAACACACCTGCTTACCTTAAGGGTTGAGGACCTTGCATGCCGACTGCTGAGGAGTCGGAAGTATCATGCGTGTGAATCTATTTTTGTACACTGTGCAGGATCTCAGAGAAAGCACAAGCAATAGGTTACTGAGTCTTTTTCTACAAAATAAATACATTGTAAAAACACAGATTTTTGTGAGATGTTTGCTTTGCCTTTTATACTTTTAAGGGTCTGGTGAATGCAGTTGAAGTAATGCTTTGTGATGTCAAAAGTCTACATCTGCGTTGAATACCACCGTTTGCACTGTTTTTATTGGTCTTAGTTACATTTACATTTACGTCATTTAGCAGACGCTCTTATCCAGAGCGACTTACGTGATGTGAAATGAACCAATCGCTTTGCGACATTCCCAACTCGCAGATGTGCTGGAGTGCACTGCACCATTAACTGTCCTCTTGGCGCCTTCCTTCGATATGAAATACTGTTCCTCTCCATTCAAACAGCAATGGGAGTGAGTGACATCTTCAACAAGTGTTCATTCACCCATCCATTATCAATGGAGAACCAATCACAGGGGACATAAGGCCTCCTCCATATGTTATCTCCTCCAATAGCCCGTTGTCTCAGACCCCTGGAGGCGGAGTCTCTCTTAGCTTTAGGTCCCCTTCCTATTTCTTTTATCATCAGATCAGTCCACCCATGTCTGTCTTTCTACATTGAACCACCAGACCAGGCCTCCACACAGTGTTTCCCTCTCAGTCTGTCGGTCCCCGTCAGGCACGTTCCAGGTCCTTGTACTTCTTGCGCAGGACAGACACCTGGTCCTTGAAGAGCAGGGGGTCCAGGCGGAACTGGGAGTGGACCAGGGGCATGTAGCCGAACCATCTGGCAAAGCTGTTCACACACTCCTGTCTCTGGGTAAAGTGCTCTGGGTTGGCCCACGGAGCGCTCATCTTCGTACCCTAGAAGGACGAGAGGAAAAGAGGATGTGGAGAGAGAAGAGGGTGAGTTTGAAACCAAGATCGTCGTACACACTGTTGCACATAACGCCAATGTACAGACGGGATGTACAAATGGAATTATGGTTCTCTGTATACCGTGGGAATGTATACTGTAGACAATTACTGGTGTCGAGATTCCTCAATCTTATCTATAGGCTGATAAAGATGTATGGCTGATGTAAAGTATATTTCCTGTCAGAAAACTAGGGAACTGTTAAAATTACGATGGCTAATTGATCTCACGTCTGATACAGATAGGGTTGTTCTCTCCAATCTGACAGAGTAGGGCGAGATACTGTGACATACACGGTCTGGGATAATCTCATCTTCACTAAAATAAACCGGAGCAAGGTATTGTTAGGTAAAAAGGAGTTGTCATTCTTATCAGCCATTGTCAATTATAGGCAGCAGATGTTTACAGGTTTTGTTGAGGTTGTTCAATGGGCTGACTTTCAGCCGGGGTCATTTGAACAGAAAGTTTTGCACTTGATTATTATTGTGTATTCTCGCAGCAATAACAGACTGGCGAGGGTGCAGAGAAGGATTGAATGATTATTGTTGTGTAAAAATATATCTATAACAGGTTGAACTCTGTCTAACCCTTGTTAATAAGCTGTCTATCTATTCATTCTGCTATTGGTTGATCTTTAAATTTAAGAAAACAAATTAAATGTAACAAACTTTTTTGGACACCAAGACAACAAATGTTATGCTTTATATACAGTATCACGACTACAGCAATAAATAACTAATTGGTCAGACATCCAACTGATGGGAGTGGCCTCACCTGTGGGCTGGGCAGCTCATTGGTCAAATTCACCATTGATGGGTGTCGCCTCACCTGTGAGCTGGGCAGCTCCTTGTACTGCTTCCTCTGGGCCACTTTGATTGGCGGCAGGTGGGTGACGGAGGAAACCAGGAAGTTCATGAGGATGTCCTCACAGTTGGAGGTGCGGTCCACCAGTGCCCGCAGTGAGGGGGGCAGGTAGTGGGAGAACAGGTAGTGATAGTACCTGATGGAGAGGAAATGGAAGGGTGAGAGATAGCAAAGTGATCACTAAAATGGCAAATAAATAGTTGATGTGCACAATGTATCTACTTGTCAGATCTTGTTGGTTGGAATATTGATATTGAACTGTACATTAAGCCTGGTAATACATTCTTCTAAGGGCAAAATGTAAGTGGCCACAGCTCATAGACCATCTGTTTAATGATCTTCGTTTGTTTACTATGTTTTTCTATTGTGTGTCAGTAGAGCAACTGCTCAGTTGTGCATGATGTTAGTCATAGAAATAGAATCCATAGAAAGGGCTTGGAACCTCTAACCCTGGCAATTTGACTGGTTAACTTGAATGGGGAGGTCCGTTCTACCTGTGGTAGAAGGCTGCTCCCGTCAGAACGATGGAGTACTCGTTAGTCCACTTGGAGGTGTACCCCCACGCATGCTTCACTGGGTCCCAGAAGTGACTCCTGGGGGGGTAGCCCACGATGCGCTCAGGAAAACTCCTCCACACCAAGAAGGCAAAGTTCACCTGCGGGAAGAGTGAGTACAGTTAGATGGGTAAAGTGGGTGTGTGTTTTCTACCACAGTGTGTAGTTGTTTAGGAAGGTCATACCTCACTGGTCAGCAGGACTGTATCTTCATCCAGACTCAGCACTGCCTCTGTCTCTATGGCCACGTTGGGCAGGAAACGACTGCTCGTCTGGAGAAGGGGGATCGAGAGAGAGATAATCATTTCCATTCCTTATTAAGGTTGACAGTGGTTGGTTTATGTGTGGGAAAATGAAGGAATGACAGGGACACTGTCCGCTCCACTGAGGTCTGTGGTATGGGGAGAGAGAGGATGAGTCAATGTCACGGATGTGTGAATGACAAGCAGTGAAAAAGGAAGGATTTTACTCCCATAGATTCACTCTGTTTTGTGGTTAGAGGGCGGGGTAGACAGACAGAGAGAGGCACAGAGAGAGGCAGACAGTGTATCATTCTGCCTCTCCCGTGGCCTGACTTGGGTTTTGGTGACGTCATTGTCACTCACCTTCCTCCTGCCGTCTGTCACAGTGAGGGGGACAGGCATGGGGGGCCATTTACTCCTGTGGGGCGGCGGCTTCTCACTGTTCCACAGGATGATGATCTAGAGGTGGAGGGAATAGTGTGTGACACAATAAGCATAAGGGTTATTAGGCTTAATGAAGCAATGTAGAGTTGTCCATTTGTTACCTATGACCTCTTATTCACCAACACGCTAAAAACACACTCACCTGTGTACAGTATTTGGACTTGGAGACCACCTGAAGCAGCTTCATGATTGGCTGAGACTGGGAGACCAATGGGGAGACGGCATGGATGATGGCGGTGAACTCTTGACCTGGACTGACCCCTGCAGGAAGGAACGAGGAGTTTCTACTTTTACTATCTACCTTGTACATTGTTGCATATATGAAAGTAGTAACATATTTACTGTAGGAGCCAAATATTAGATTTGCTTTATATACTATTTATTATAAACTTTATGAAATATCTATTTTTGTTTTATCAGAGGAGACCCTATAGATGAGATATAATTATAAGGATGAGCCAGTCTAGTCAGGTAGGTCTGAACTAGTCGGAACCGGTCCAGTCCGGTCTGGTTCCTACCTAGGCTCAGGTAGTAGAAGGGGAAGTGGGCCAAGTGAGTGGAGTACTCTGGCAGGACAAGCAGGCCTCCTGGTAAGGAGTTCCACATGTACTTATTTCTGGAGACGTGGGAGAACACCCGGTCCTTGATTATCTGAGAGAGAGAGCGCGATGACAAGGTGAGAAGGTTTAAGGGGAGCTACTGTATGTTAATATGTTAGAACGCCCTGATGTACCCATATGTTCAAACCTTAATTATCTATGTCCATATGGGCTGGCCAACTTTGTGTGTGTAAAACTGAAGTAATCACATCAAGAATACAAACGCAGCAATCTTAAGTACATGCACTTGCTCACTTTGACCAGCTAGTGTCAGTATAAGAACAAAACATCCAATCCAATACGTGTTCATTAGAGCACATCGCAGCAAAATATAATTGCCACAGAAAACAAAAACAAGCATTTCTTATTGGACAATGTCCAGGTACTGTTTCAGTCCGTTTTCTCCCATTTGGTGCCTAATGAACAGGACTCCTTATCACCTACCTCCAGTGTGGTGAGGACTATCTTGTCTACGGAGGAGAAGTAGGCCTCCCACAGCATCTGGGTCCGCTGCCTCAGAGCTAGGACCCGCTCATTTCCCACCGCACGCACCGTAGACGGGACCTGGGAGAGAGAGGAAGACGAGGGAGAGAGGGTGGAAGTTGAGGGAGAGAGCAAGGGTGCGTGAGATAGAAAAGGAAGAGCATAGCAGGCAAGGTCAATCATGTATTCAACAGGATAAAACAATCAGAATGTTGCTGAATGAAATGTACTTCATAGAATGACACTGCTCTCTACACTGCCTGGTAAAATAATAACATTTTCTTACAGTATAATGTTACATTTTTACCTGCAAGGCTGAACCAACTGGCAGTCAATAACCCTTACTATGGAGGAAGACAGGGAAAGTGGGAAGACACTAGCTACATTATTTAAATCCAGCCAGAGTCAAATCCACTATCAATGGTATTGTTTTGCCAGAGGGAGAGCTTGGGTTCAGGAAAGGTTCCCAGCAGCTATCCTAGCTCACCTAGCTCTGTCTATAGCGCAGACTACTTCCATCAGAAGTAGTACTCTTATTTCTCACATGATTTACCTGAAACCAACATTTCAGGCAAGTTACATGTTACATGATGACACTACGCTCTACTAGAGGAAAATAAAAAGGGGTCACCCCACTGGCACCAAACGAAAATAGCCCAAATTCAACCCATTCATTCTCCTAAACTAAATACTATGAATGTGTCAGCTAGCTGAAGAAATAGGAAATATATCCAGTAGACTCACCTAACCTGTAAGTCTACAACAGGCAGTTACTTTGGATAAAAACATCTGCTAAATGGCCATGTGATTTGATTATTATTAAAGTTAGCCTAGTAGGGAAGTCTGCATCTTCTACAGTGATGTTAAAAGGCCAGTCAGATAGCCAGTTGACTCCCCTAGAACTTAGTCTACCATATAACAGCTCTTCTAATGATAGGGACCTGAGGAAGCAAAGGGCCTCCCTCCTCTTTCACTCTCTCCATCTCCTCTCTCTCTCCTCCCTCTCACTCTTTCTCTCCTCCAACTTTCATCTCTAGATCTGAAAGAGAGATTCACCTCTCAATGATCTCCTGTCTCTCTGATGTACTTGGCCCCATTCAACCTCCTGTCACCAGCTTTATTTCCTCAAAACTCACGAGGCGTGTGTGTGTTTGTGTGCGTGGAGTGTTAGAGGGGGAGGAGTGTGTGTGTACATGCGAGCGCACGTGTTTATGGGTGCACACGTGGGCCTAACGTTGTTGCGGTCAATTCCATTTTGAATCTGTAAATTCTATGATTTTAACATGTCCCATGATGTACTTTCAAAAATGCTATTTAGCTAGCTATTAGCTAGCTATTAGCTAGCTGAATGTCAGGTTATTTCCTGTATCAACTGGGTTCAAACATAATTGATTCCAGGTGTGTGTGTTTGTGTTACCTGCAGTAGCAATCTCTCATCTCCTTCTATGACAGCCTGGTTCCACTGGATGACATCAGAGAAGGGCAGCTCCCAACCATTACTAAGCAACACTGGAATACACGCTGCCTAGAGAGAGCGAGAGAGAGAATAGATTGAATACTCTGTTTTCAGCAGATGTACACGTAAGATAATCTATCATCTGGAAAATGGGTGGGTCAGTGTGACAAGCAGACAAAGTCAGTGGAAATGCTACCGTTGTTCATCTGCTCTGCTTGTGGTAGACAGGCCATTTTTCAATATAAATATGTTGTCTAGATTTCCAGTCTTCGTCTCTGACACATACCACCATAGTAGCAGCTGGTACTTCAATAAGGCAGTCTGAGCAGATAATGAAATCGATGATGCAGTGTGTGTGTGTGTGTGTGTGTGTGTGTGTTTGTGTGACACTCTTGGGGAGGTTGCATGAGTCACAGCTAATATCTTGCCAGTCCCAGGAGCCCCTTGGGGCCCTAGAGAAAAAGAGATCACATTTCTGCTGCATCACACACACACACACACAGATTTAATAGACCCCTAGTCTGCTAATTAAGTACACTACACAGGGAGGATGGCGAGAGGGAGAGAGAAATGGAGAGAGATAATACATAATATTTTTTTACGCTGAGTTTGATGTTGCCGTATCCCCTTGTTTACTGACAGCCAGGTTTTTGATGTTGTTCTACTTTTCTTTTTTCAGCTCCCTCCTTCAATCTCTCTCTCTAAGCTGCGGGCCTGGGTGTTGATGGTTTTATTTACCTTTCTAATTAAATCACAGGAGAGCAGCCAGAACCAGCTACAGACTGAGATCAGACGACTCCGACTGAGATTCCCCCTCTAGCGGTTTGAAGCTCCGCTAGTTGCCTCACCAGAGACCAGCCCTCACCAAGGAAGCCATGCTGACGACGCTAAGATACGCTAGGCTACACTCCAGGTAACAGGGTCAAGCCAGATGCTAAGGCCTCCTGAGCTGACGTGAAGCCTGGGGCTTGCCTGAGCCACTTCCCCAGAGATATGGTGCTGTGAAGCGGACTGACTAAGAAGTATTCCCCTGTCTGGATCCCATTGCAGCTCAGCATGTGGGCATATGTGTATTGTTGTATTTTGCATTGGGAGATGAAGAGAGGAGCATCAGGGTGAGTGTGTGTGTGTGTGTGCGTGCGCGCATGGGCATTTGTCTGTGTGTGTGTGTGTGTGTACTCAGGCATTTGTCCGTGAGTGTGTGTGCCCCCATGGGAGTGTATGTACCGAGAGTTGGAACGCTGGCAGTAAGTTTCCTACCACACTGGTAATTGCAAGTTCTTTTGTGGGCTTGGGCTGGCACGGAAATAAAAAGGAGATCTTACAAATCTCAGACTGGCCTGAATGGAAAAGCAAAGGAGACAGAGGAATAGAGGGAAGAGAGATGGAGGGAGAGAGCGGGGGAGTGAGTGCCGAGGAGGAATGAGTTAGCTGTGTGAGAGTGAGCTTCCCTGCCAAGCCCTGCGTTCAGTGGATTTGCCTATTCAGTTTAGATCAGCAGTGTGGCAGGCTGGCACCCCTATGGAAGCTTCCGGACCATTGAGAGACTCAGCGAGAGAGAAGGAAAGAGGGGAAAGAGGGCCAGGGAACACAAGAGTCTGGGAGGTTCATTGGTAGGTAAAACCATGAACACAGCTCCATCACCAAAACATCAACATGGGTGGTAATTCCACACAGTTCGTCCCATATAATTATTTCTTTAACTACATGCTTTATTGAAGCTGAGTTTGATGAAAGGTAATCCCTTTCAATGTTATATTTACCAAATCCCCCCCCCCTTTTTTTTGTTGCAAATTAGTCAACACCACCATAATGGTTAACACCTTAAATTGTACACGTTAGTAGAGCACATAAGGATCTTCATACGAAAGTTGGTCAGAGTGTGGCTATGATACTAATAGTGTAACTGCTAACACAATCCACATCAACGCATAATCTTGATAGTTCAGAGGTGTATTCGTACTCGTAGCTTGGTCCCAGGAGTTGGTCATAGGAGTTGGCAAGACGGCACAAACAGATCACATATCTGGGACCATGCTAGTGTATTGTGAGCAGTATTTGGCATTCTTCTAGGACCATGCAAGAGTATTGAGATCAGTATTTGGCATCCTACCTGTAGAGACTCTAGGAAGCGAAAGGAGCCCAGGCGACGACCCCGAGGAACCAGGCAGAAGGTGGAGTTGTGGAGCAGCTCCTGGTAGTCAAACCTGAGAGGAGAGAAAGAAAGGATTGAGAGTTAGTGTTAGAGGACAAATTCTGCCTTCATTTTTACAGAGGGAACAGCGTTCACTTTTACAAAGGCTCCATTTCGACCATGAAGATAGCAGTTCTAGAGTCGAAAGACTTATGTTAGGGTCAAGAGAGACCTATTGACATTAGGCTTCTGTAAAGATACCTACTCAACAGTGTGTCTGGGCACAATTCTTGCTGGGGATTGAGACACGCACAAGCACACACGCCCACACTCAATATGCTGTCTCGACCTCTGAATGCTCGGCTATGAAAAGACAACTGACATTTACTCCTGAGGTACTGACCTGTTGCACCCTCTACAACCACTGTGATTATTATTTGACCCTGCTGGTCATCTATGAACATTTGAACATCTTGAAGAACAATCTGGCCTTAATGGCCATGTACTTTTATAATCTCCACCCAGCACAGCCAGAAGAGGACTGGCCACCCCTCAGAGCCTAGTTCCTCTATTGGTTTCTTCCTAGGTTCCTGCCTTTTTAGGGAGTTTTTCCTAGTCACTGTGCTTCAACATCTGCATTGCTTGCTGTTTGGGGGTTTAGGCTGGGTTTCTGTATAGCACTTTGTGACATCTGCTGATGTAAAAATGGCTTCATAAATACATTTGATTGATTGAATATGGTTGGAATAACTGGACCTGTTACATAATACAATTATGTATTGTTTTTGTGTTAGAGAGTACAATAGGAAGACATGGCCACATCTTAGCTATACCATTCCATTGCCATTGACTGTTGCTTGAACTACAGTGAGGGAAAAAAGTATTTGATCCTCTGCTGATTTTGTACGTTTGCCCACTGACAAAGAAATTATCAGTCTATAATTTTAATGGTAGGTTTATTTGAACAGTGAGAGACAGAATAACAACAAAAAAATCCAGAAAAACGCATTTCAAAAATGTTATACATTTATTTGCATTTTAATGAGGGAAATAAGTATTTGACCCCTCTGCTAAACATGACTTAGTACTTGGTGGCAAAACCCTTGTTGGCAATCACAGAGGTCAGACGTTTCTTGTAGTTGGCCACCAGGTTTGCACACATCTCAGGAGGGATTTTGCCCCACTCCTCTTTGCAGATCTTCTCCAAGTCATTAAGGTTTCGAGGCTGATGTTTGGCAACTCGCAAAGCACACTCCACAGATTTTCTATGGGATTAAGGTCTGGAGACTGGCTAGGCCACTCCAGGACCTTAATGTGCTTCTTCTTGAGCCACTCCTTTGTTGCCTTGGCCGTGTGTTTTGGGTCATTGTCATGCTGGAATATCCATCCATGACCCACTTTCAATGCCCTGGCTGAGGGAAGGAGGTTCTCACCCAAGATTTAACGGTACATGGCCCCGTCCATCGTCCCTTTGATGCGGTGAAGTTGTCCTTTCCCCTTAGCAGAAAAACACCCCCAAAGTATAATGTTTCCACCTCCATGTTTGATGGTGGGGATGGTGTTCTTGGGGTCATAGGCAGCATTCCTCCTCCTCCAAACACGGCGAGTTGAGTTGATACCAAAGAGCTCCATTTTGGTCTCATCTGACCACAACACTTTCACCCAGTTCTCCTCTGAATCATTCAGATGTTCATTGGCAAACTTCAGACGGCCCTGTATATGTGCTTTCTTGAGCAGGGGGACCTTGCGGGCGCTGCAGGATTTCAGTCCTTCACGGCGTAGTGTGTTACCAATTGTTTTCTTGGTGACTATGGTCCCAGCTGCCTTGAGATCATTGACAAGATCCTCCCGTGTAGTTCTGGGCTGATTCCTCACCGTTCTCATGATCATTGCAACTCCACGAGGTGAGATCTTGCATGGAGCCCCAGGCCGAGGGAGATTGACAGTTCTTTTGTGTTTCTTCCATTTGCGAATAATCGCACCAACTGTTGTCACCTTCTCATCAAGCTGCTTGGCGATGGTCTTGTAGCCCATTCCAGCCTTGTGTAGGTCTACAATCTTGTCCCTGACATCCTTGGAGAGCTCTTTGGTCTTGGCCATGGTGGAGAGTTTGGAATCTGATTGATTGATTGCTTCTGTGGACAGGTGTCTTTTATACAGGTAACAAGCTGAGATTAGGAGCACTCCCTTTAAGAGTGTGCTCCTAATCTCAGCTCGTTACCTGTATAAAAGACACCTGGGAGCCAGAAATCTTTCTGATTGAGAGAGGGTCAAATACTTATTTCCCTCATTAAAATTTGTTTTTCTGGATTTTTTTGTTGTTATTCTGTCTCTCACTGTTCAAATAAACCTACCATTAAAATTATAGACTGATAATGTATTTGTCAGTGGGCAAACGTACAAAATCAGCAGGGGATCAAATACTTTTTTCCTCTCACTGTACATGACTGTGTTGTGGGAAAACAACTTCTCTATTGCTTAGACCCACACAGGGTCAGTTTCAGTGTCAGCTTCTATAATTTGTATTTCAAAAAGTATTCAGTCAGTCACACTGAAAGACATTCCATCAAATCCAACTGTAACTGCAACATACCGGTACCCATATTCTGTACACATTACTCTCAGGACTTGACTTGAGGCTGTTGCTAGAAACCATGCTAGAAAGTGGCAATATTGTCAATTAAGATGACCTGGTGCATGAACTATTTATCTGTTGGTTTGTTCATAATTTCAAAGTAAAAGGAAGGATAAATGGTTTACATTAAGGTTAGTGGTTTGTGATTATAATTGCGTTGGTGGTCAGAAAGTGCCATACTCTGTTCTCTCTGATATAGACAGATGGGGATGATAGCGTTGGAATGGAATGTATGGCTTTTAATCAAATCAAATCCAAATGTATTTGATGTGCATTATGAAGATCTCAAAACATTTCACACAATGAGTTTCTCCATTCCAGCAACATACTTTACATGGCCAAAAGTATGTGGACACATGCTTGTCGAACATCTAATTCAAAAATCATGGGTATTAATATGGAGTTAGTCCCCCCCTTTGCTGCTATAACAGCTTTCCACTAGATGTTGGAACATTGCTGCGGGGACTTGCTTCCATTCAGCCACAAGAGCATTAGTAATTCATCCCAAAGGTGTTCGATGGGGTTGAGGTCAGGGCTCTGTACAGGCCATTCAAGTTCTTCCACACCGATCTCGACAAACCATTTCTGTATGGACCTCGCTTTGTGCACGGGGGCATTGTCATGCTGAAACAGGAAAGGGCCTTCCACAAACTGTTGCCACAAAGTTGGAAGCACAGAATCATCTAGAATGTAATTGTATGCTGTAGCGTTAAGATTTCCCTTCACTGGAACTAAGGGGCCTAGCCCGAACCATGATAAACAGCCCCAGACCATTATTTATCCTCCACCAAACTACAGTTGGCACTATGCATTGGGGCAGGTAGCGTTCTCCTGGCATCCGCCAAACCAAGAATCGTCCATCGGACTGCCAGTGAAGCGTGATTCATCACTCCAGAGAACGCGTTTCCACTGCTCCAGAGTCCAATGGCGGCGAGCTTTACACCACTCCAGCCCACGCTTGACATTGCGCATGGTGATCTTAGGCTTATATGTGCTGGCTCCTCAGCCATGGAAACCCATTTCATGAAGCTCCCGACGAACAGTTATTGTGCTGACGTTGGTAGGGAGGGAGTGTTGCAACCAAGGACAGGCGATTTTTACACGCTTCAGCATTAGGCAGTCCCGTTCTGTGAGCTTGTGTGGCCTATCCCTTCGCGGCTGAGCCGTAATTGCTCTTAGATGTTTCCACTTCACAATAACAGCACTTACAGTTGACCGGGGCAGCTCTAGCAGGGCAGAAATTTGACGAACTGACTTGTTAGAAAGGTGGCATCCTATGACGGTGCCACGTTGAAAGTCACTGAGCTCTTCAGTAAGGCCATTCTACTGCCAATGTTTGTCTATGGAGATTGCACGGCTGTGTGCTCGATTTTATACACCTGTCAGCAATGGGTGTGGCTGAAATAGTCAAATCCACTAATTTGAAGGATTAGGGTGTATAAAAGGGTGTCCCCATGTAGTGTATTTGCTCTCGATGTATGTTTATGCTTGTGGTCATTCTGGCATCTGATTGGATATCATTCCTACAGTGTTTTGGGTGTGAAAGGCCATGATTTGTTCAGGCACCAGCATCCCCTCTCCTATTTGACGGTTGAAGTGAGTGTGGTTTTGCGTTAAGAACTAGAATGGAGACAGTTTTGTTGTTATGTTTGTAATAGAGATGGTTATGGCTGTGGGTAGAGAGAATTTATCATAAATCCGTTGTTAAGGGTGGAAATTAACTGTTCAGGTTGTGATGAGAGTTGACAGAGTGGATCTGAAATCAGTGCATAACTGAGCATTAGAAATACCCCCAGAGCTACCAAAATAACCCAATGTTCCCAACCAACTGTGGCAAGCTGCCAATGTGTGGAGTGCATTCTGGTGCAAAATGGGTCCCATGCATCACCCAGGTGGGTCCTTCACAGTTCTGAGCTAGGTAGTTTAGGTGACCTCCCCGCACCCCCCAACCCTCTAAATGTAAAACATGTTGAAACCCAGCAAAAAATACCTAAAATGCAAGCCATTATCAAGCCAGTGGAACCGTTTAACGGCCCATCGTGTTTCTCACTGCTCTAAGTACAGTCAACAGACAGAGCAAATAAACAAGTTTCTTATGAAAGAGTTCCTATATCCTCGTCTCTCCTGCTCTTCTGGCAACAGTCTTGTTTACCCGCCCAAGGGGCGTCAGCATAAAATACGTCCGCCGCCGCTAATCTAGCCTGTCTCTGTCTCGACTGTACCGACCATAGTTTATTCACCACTCTGTGAGTGATGAGATACAGGCGCAGGGTTTTAAAAATTTGAAAATTGCTGATGTTGGCACGGATTGGGATCTTGGTGTGAGTTTCTCGGTGAGCTGTTGAATGAGTGTCACTATCAGGGTTATGGTGTATACATACATACAAATCCGTGCACACACACACACGGAAATGTGCACACACACTAACACTTACAG